CCCAGCCGACTGTGCTAGTCGTGGTCTAACTGCATCACAACTCAAAGCCCAGACCTTGTGGTGGCTGGGCCCGTCTTGGCTATCAACATTTAATGACCAAGGGCATAAGATCGCTTATACAACAAACGAAGAATTAAAATTATCAAAAACAATTTTAGTAGCACAACATCAACCTGATTTTATCATTCAAGAAATCCTATCAAAATATAGCACAATTAACAAAGCGGTAAGAATAGTAGCATGGATTCGGAGATTTTTAACTATCAAAAAAGGACAAAATATAAATTATCTAGTAAGTACGAGAGTTGAAGGAAGCTAAGTTATTAATTATCAAAAATATACAACAAACGGGATTTGAAAGAGAGTTGTCAGATTTGAAGCAAGGAAATAAAATAAACCGAAAAAGCAACATTTGTGAACTAAATCCGTATATTGATCAAGATGAAGTATTGAGAGTCGGTGGGAGGTTGCGAAATGCCAATCTGGACCCAGACATGAAAAATCCTATCATTATACCCGGCAACAGTCGCCTTGCTGCGGTTCTTATAGATCAGGCGCATGAAATGACATACCATGGTGGTGCTCGGCTAACATCAGCCAACTTGAGACAAAAATACTGGATCGTCGGTGGCAACAGAGCTACGAAGAAGAGATTACGTCATTGTATCAAATGTAGAAGGCACGAACCAACCAAACACTATCAAATTATGGGTCATCTTCCAGCAGCTAGAGCAAACCCTTCACACCCCTTCCATCATGTCGCTGTAGACTACACGGGCCACGTGTTTATCAAGGCTAACTCAGGCCGTGGTATCAAAACTACGAAAGGTTATATCGCTGTGTTCACGTGTATGGCCACAAAGGCTGTACATTTGGAGTTGGTGTCTGACCTGACGAGTACTGCATTCTTAGCAGCGTTACGGAGAATGACAGCTCGCCGTGGCAAACCTAATCACATTTATAGCGATAATGGCACGAACTTCATAGGAGCCAATAAGGTCTTACAGCAGGAATACGAAGAGCTCCTCAAAACATTTGGTGGTGAGTTTCTCTCAGAAGTGTCCGAGATGGGTATAAATTGGCACTTTAATGCACCTTCGTGGCCATCAGCCAATGGTCTTTGTGAAGGAGCCGTGAAAAGCCTCAAGTATCGTCTAAGGAGGGTGGTTGGTGATCAAAAACTCACCTACGAGGAGTACAGCACGCTGCTAGCACAATTAGAAGCTTAAATTCGAGACCACTATGTCCATTGACGGAGGACACTGATGATTTAAATTATTTAACCCCATCACATTTTCTATCAAGCGGTCCGATTCTATCACTTTATGAGACGGAACGAGATCTTAGGACTAGGTGGCATTTAACGCAAAAAATATTCCAAGACATTTGGAAAAGGTGGCAACAAGAACATTTAACAAATCTATCAGCCCGGAGTAAGTGGCGCCAACCTCAAGAAAATATCAAATTAAATGACATCGTACTCATCAATGATGGTAACCTTCCGCCAGGCAAGTGGGCCCTCGGTAGAGTGGTAGAATTGCACCCTGTTAATGACGGCTACGTGCGTGTTGTGACGTTAAAAACCAAAAATGGTTATATGAAAAGAAACCATCTGTTCGAAGATAAGAGAGCATTCACACTGCGATGGTGACATGTCTCAATTGAATCACGAGCAGTCGGAACTACAGCGCTACAATATCATGTTGCAAGATAAGGGCGACCTACTCACACGTAAGCGCCGGGGACTCATCAATGGTGTAGGTAATATCGCAAACGCGTTGTTTGGGGTGCTTGACAGCAACTTTGCTGAAAATATGAAGAAGATATCGATTTAATCAGAGAAAACCAAGGACACCTAGCCCAGTTGTGGAAGAATCAAACGTCAGCTGTAGAAGCGGAGTTCAATGTCATCAAGAGGGTAGAGTCGATCATGGAAGAGCATCATAAAACTATCAACAAAAAGATGATTGAACTTGAACAATCGATGAACGCACTAAAGTCACAAGTCTCAAATAACTCATACATCAACGAATTTACCTTGGCCGCTATAGTTACAAACAACATTTTGAACAAGTTAAAAGAAATACAAACTTATCTTATTGAAACTATCACAGACGTATTTCACGGGAAGTATGATATTCATCTACTAACCCCCAAGCAACTCCACCACGAATTAAGTGCCATCTCTACTCAGATACCTAAAGACCTATCGCCTTGCACCAATTGACAGATTACGTCACAAGTAATCTTGACAACGGTATGCACTCAATTGGGATCTTTTTAGACCTTGCCAAAGCATTTGATACTATTTCTTGCCCTATACTATTGCAAAAGCTTGAAACACTTGGCATAAGGGGAACTCAACTACAATTTTTTTCTGATTACCTCAGTGATGGCTTTCAGTGTGTAAAAATCACCGCTTGACACAAATTTAAATTTCCGCAAGCACATCGATTTACTTTGTGCTAGAGTTCGTAAATTAATATATATTTTTAAATATCTTCGTAACATCGCTGACTTTAAATTGATAAGACAGGTCTATTTAGCTCTGTGTCAATCCATACTCACTTATGGCCTTACTTCCTGGGATGGTGCTTCTAAAACAGTATTGCTCCCATTAGAACGTGCTCAGAGAGCAGTTCTAAAGGTAGCCACTCTCCGTCCATTCATGTTTCCTACACATCAACTTTACTTGGCATGTAGTGTGCTAACTGTCCGTGAGTTGTTTATCCTGAACATCATATTAAAACAACATACCGAACTTCCATTTAACTTAAAATCCATAGACAGGAGAAGAATAGACTTGTAAACCCTCAAACTAAACACGCATTTGTGAACAAATTTTACATATTTTCAGGGCCCTTTCTATATAACAAGCTCAACAAGTCACTAAAGGTATATAGTCTAAGTATAATTAATAGAATCAGGCGTTACTTTGCGGAAATCCATTATATAAAAGCTTTTACAAAAATTTACTTCGCAAATATCCGCGTTATAAAATAAAATGATGTGTCTTACCTAGTATGAAGAAGCACCTCCCGCCCTCCCTCAATTGCGTGCACTAACCCCGTCACCACTAATCCCAGCACCGCTACTCCCAACACCACTACACTAGGCAAGACACACCACTGACGATAATACGACACGTGTTTCGCCTCTACACGAGGCATCCTCAGGTGATATAGACTCTACGGTGGCTAACCGCTAAGTCTAAGTTATAAGAACTGTAATATAAGTGTAAGAGAATTTCTAAATAAATTAAATTACGAAGACACAGAGAAGTTGTTAGAAATTCTAAAATAGTTTGTATTAATTGTAGTTAACAATTAATTGTTATTTAGTTACTTTATTTATTATATAATATAGTTTAATTATTTAAATATCTAGTGTCCTACATTAGTAAACCCATTGTGTAAGTGATGTCTGATGTACTCAACCTAGTTCAGGCAGGTAGCTAATATTATAAACTTGACGTTTTTTATTTTTATTTTGTATATTCTACATTATTAAGCTACACATAGTTTTAATTTTATCATAGCATGTTATTTTTGTTAGACTTATTGTTACTTTATTTAATTGTAATCATATTTTTCCTGTATGTAAACATGTGTAATTGGAAATGAAATAAATATTTATTTATTATTTATTTCTTTACTCATATGGTCCTACTTCCCGCGGTAAATAAATTAATTTTTCCTAGTTTGGCAACTTCCAATGGATTCTGCCAGCGTCAAGTATTTCATGAGAGTCACACCGAGTATTGACTGGGTTTCCGTTTCCGTAGATGCGCTTACTTAGCTTTATGTTACGAATTTACTTAGGTATGTAGTTATTTTCGAATGAATTAACATTATAATAGTTTTACAAAATTATTGCTAATTTAATAAAATGGATATAGGTAAGTAGCAAAAGTACTATAGTTTAATGTTATTAATGGATATGAAGTCTATTAAGTTTGTACAAAAGGGGTGTAAACTAAATTTAACAAAGACTTAAGATTTACAGGACGAGGGATGTTATTAGGAAGAAAATTGTATGACAAAACGGAGAGGTTGGGGCAGTTAAAAATTTTATGATCGATCGTACCTTCGTCTAATCCACACTCACAAATTGAGCTATCTTTAATCTTAAGTTTTGCCAAAAATACAGGTGAACAAGTGTGTCCCCATCTTATACTACATATGACAGATGTGCTATGTTTGGAGCCATTTCTAAATTTAAAAAACCATGGTTTGGAGGGGATGTCAGGTTGGAGTTCTGCATAATATTTACCGATAGACTTCTGAGTTTTTTTCCAAAGAGAGTTCCAAACTGACATCTGATGGATTTTCGCAAGGGAAATAAGGTCATGAGTATATTATGTCATATGATGCATGAGCGTACAAAAAAAATATAATCAATTTCAGAAAAGATTTTCAATACGAAAGACGTTGACAATCAAATGTCATTTTCTTCTTCTTTTAATTCATGGCTTCTTTTGATAGCATTCTGCTTATGTTCATCAATTAAATTTTCATCAATTAATAGGTGAATTAATTGTGCAAATCTCAAAGTAATATGTATGTAATTATACTCTAATGAGCAACCAAAAAAAAGTTTGACACAGAATTAACATTTTCAGTTTCTTCCGATATAATATGTATTTTGTATCTAATTTTTTAAATGGCTATCTGAAACAACGCGAAAGAAACAGTGATATCTTTTTCTCGCATTAATTTTACACGGCCAATCCACACATAGATAAAATTATGATTGTGTGCAAGTTTCTCGGATTTCATACAGAGTTGCACCACCCTGAATATAGGTAATTATTAAATGTGTCAAAAATACCAATTGTGTCAAAAATTGGTATGTTCAAAGATATAAAAAAGTAAAATACGTATATTATGTTAATATTTATTCATATCAGTAACAAAATTTATTGAATTACACAAATATAAGTACTAATGTAAAACTGGAAAGGCAACATTAACACTATTTACAATTAAAATACAAAGCGTTTAGTTATGATTTTCAAGCTGATCACGGGCCTGGCGAAGAACCCCTTGAGTTTTGTGTATCTCGCGGCAAATGGCGCGTTGCACGTTTCTCTTCCTCATATTTGCAGCATTCAATTGAGTTAATGTTTCTGCAAGTGTCGCTTTTGTTCTAGCAAGTTTTTGTTTTAATAAAACATTTTCTTGATATAAAGACCCTGTAATTTAAAACAACGAATTATAGGTACCGTGATTTATATGATGCAATGATGCTCGCGAAGAAATAATGAATAACATTTTTTATTCTTTTATTAGGCCTTGACCTGATACTACTTTTGCTCTGCATTCAAACCTTTTCAGTCATGAGAAGGGACCTTCGTCTAGCAATGGGACGTATGAGTAGTGCGTTGGGCTTTTTTAAAATTATACAAAGCCTTTATACATATTACAGTTTATATTTATGTAAACGAGCCCTCTGAATTATATCGTTCTAAAAAAATGGAAGGGACAATTTTCTAGCATTAGTGCTTAAGAAACTAGTCACCAAGAATCGCCATCATCATCAACATACTACTGAACATAGGCCTCCCCCAGGATTGCCACAGAACACGGCCGCGAGCCACCTGCATCCATCGACTTGCTGCATGTCTTCCCACTCCATGTAGTGTGAGGCCGCCTCACACTTTGCTTAATAAATAATAGTTAAAAGAACAGAAGAATCACTCTCTGATATCAAACTTGCGAGTTTAAACTTAGTTACAAAGTCGCTAATGTTCATCAATCAATACTTTGCACACCTTGGAAGTGACCTTCGTGAAATTAGCCTACCGTTTATTTCGTCGAAAAATAAAATTATGAGGCGCGCGTGTTAAGTCTAAATGCACCTTGGGTTCGCGTGCGAGTGTCTGTATCACTTAGCCCGTTACGCGCCTTTATTAAGACCGCTTCTACTGTAGGATTAGGTGTTGTGAGAAAACAAATTGACTCCTTTGATATTAGTTGGTATATAGTAGAAAACACCGAGGTGTTATACAATGTATTAGTAGTAAACGTTACCACACCAGAATTTTCTCCTGTATCGCAGCGACAGTTTACGTACATAGAACAGACCCAGAACAATGATTTGTAGGCCATACAAATACTTGTTCCGTCCGGGATTCGAAGCCGCGGCCCTTAGCGCTGCAACTCATTACTAACCCACGGAGCCGTCACTTTATAACCACTGTTTCACATTTTCTTTCTATTTACAAACATGCGATACGCAACTTCATTATTAATGAAAGAGAGGCAATAAGAAGTACTGCTACTTTCAATCAATATCCAGTATATGCTGATCTTGCATTAGTAGGCAGTCACTAGTACTGGGAGGGCTACTTCCACTGAAAATCATTTTAAGGTCATTGGCATTATACAATGCAATGCAATGAAGTGCACGATACGAATGACAAGCTCATGGAAACTGTCCGGAACTAAGTTCTGCAAGACCCGCCGCAGAAGAACACAAAAACTCTCCGATCACACTCTTAATCTCATGGCTGTTAGACGGGAGATGAAGCTACATTCTTCAACAGATTTGACAGCATACAGGCAACTGAACAGACAGATCTCCAAATGCATGCGGCGGGACTTACGCAACTTCAATACAGCTCGTATTGAAGAAGCGATCGAGCGGAATCAAGGCTCCAAAGCCTTTGCCAGAGATCTGTCTGCCAGAAAGAGCCAACTATCAAAGCTGAAGACAGAATGTAGCAGCATCGTTTCCGGGGCACCTGAGATTTTGAGTGAGATTGAGAGGTTCTATCATTATTCCGATGATACCCCGGACGTCAGTCTGAGCGAAATTAGAATGGCTCTCCAGCACCTTAAAAACGGCAAGGCCCCAGGCGAGGATGGAATTACAGCGGAGCTTCTGAAAGCGGGTGGAAAACCAGTACTTGAAGTCCTTCAGAAGCTCTTTAATTCCGTCCTCCATGGTGGCATTACACCGGAGGCGTGGAATAGAAGTGCGGTGGTCTTGTTCTTCAAGAAAGGCGACAACGCTCTCTTGGAGAACTACAGACCGATTTCCCTTCTGAGCCGCGTCTACGTGCTGTTTTCGAGAGTCATTACGAATCGTCTCGCGCGCAGACTTGACGACTTCCAGCCCACCGAACAAGCCGGCTTCCGAAAAGGCTTTAGCACCATAGACCACATACATACCCTTCGGCAAATTGTACAGAAGTCCGAGGAGTACAATTTGCCACTATGTCTGGTGTATGTGCACTATGAGAAAGCCTTTGATTCCGTCGAAATTTGGGCGGTGCTGCAGTCCCTTCAGCGGTGCCAAGTGGACTGTCGGTATATCGCAGTGCTGAAGTGCTTGTACAGTAGGGCTACGATGGCTATCCAAGTACAGAACTAGAGTACGAAACCTATCCAATTGCAGAGAGGTGTAAGACAGGGTGACGTCATATCCCCGAAACTCTTCACCGCTGCATTGGAAGATGTTTTCAAGCTTCTGGAGTGGAAAGGATACGGTATCTACATCAATGGCGAGTACATCACTCACCTTAGATTTGCCGACGATATAGTCCTTATGGCAGAATCGCTGGAGGACCTAAGCACTATGCTCAATGACTTCAATAGTGCTTCCCAACGGATAGGTCTTAAGATGAACATGGACAAAACAAAGATCATGTTTAATGTCCATGTCACACCTATGCCGGTAGTTGTTGGGAGCACTAAGCTCGAAGTTGTTGACGAGTATGTTTACCTGGGACAAATAGTCCGACTAGGTAAGTCCAACTTCGACCGAGAGGTCAATCGACGGATTCACCTCGGTTGGGCAGCCTTCGGGAAATTACGGCACATCTTCTCGTCAGGTATACCTCAAAATTTGAAAACGAGACTGTACAACCAGTGCGTGTTGCCAGTGATGACATACGGAACTGAGACGTGGTCCTTCACTGCTGGCCGGATGAAGAAGCTCAAGGTCGCTCAGCGAGCTATGGAGAGGGCTATGCTCGGAGTTTCTCTGCGTGATAAACTCAGAAATGAGGATATCCGCAGTAGAACCAGAGTGACCGACATAGCCCAACGAATTAGTAAGCTGAAGTCGCAATGGGCCGGCCATATAGCTCGAAGAACCGACAACCGATGGGGAAGAAAGGTTCTCGAGTGGCAGCCTCGTACCGACAGGCGAAGTGTTTGGCGTCCCCCCACTTGATGGAGTGACGACCTGGTAAGATATGCAGGAAGTCGATGGATGCAGGTGGCTCAGGACCGTGCTTTGTGGCATTCCTTGGGGGAGGCCTATGTTCAGCAGTGGACTTGTGAAGAGCTGTAATGATGATGATGATGATGGTGGCATTATACGAGAAAAAATCGAAAACTGCGAAGTTGTGGTCGGGTCACTAATCAAATAATAAATCTGTAACTAAGCACCTAATTATCTAGATCTACATAATATAAATAATAACATGTATATTCTTAGGAACAGTAAAGAATGAAAAGTCGACGTTCCTATTATTATTTAAGCACCTGTATGCTATGCAGTACTTTTTGGCTTCTTGAGAGGCCATACTTGAATAAAAACTCAAAAATAAATATCAAGTGGCTAAATACTTATTAAAGAAATATTTTTTTATGTTAAAGCCGCGTATCGATTTTGCGCTTCAAGAGGTGGAACATTGGCGCGCGCTGCAACCGCGCGAAATGAATAGCGCCTAGGAACGCGCGCCAAATTGTTCGTTGGGACGCTCAAACATGGAGCGGGCCGTTCCATCTGGTTTCGGCGTATCAAAGTAGTTAAGTATTGGAGCGTGCGCCAGTCGGGACGGCTGTTTTCATCATTCGTGTATTCTTTGCGTTCCGAGCTACGGATACCCAGAGTTGCCGTAAATTTATAAAATTATATGATTTCAAAGATCTGCTGTGGAATAGCATAAGTCGTTTTTATCATAATAAAGCGCTCAGAGAAGATGCATAGAACTATGAAAGCGGCAGCTGCTCGTACACGACCGACATGCATGCTGAACGGTCAAACAAAGGCGAGCGGGCGCGTGACAACCTTACGGAATTAGTCTTTCGTAGGCGGCCACGCAGCGTAGGTATATTTCCATGCCTAAAGCGCGGAGTGACACAGGTCTGCTAGTAGGAGATTGTTACGAGCAATATGGCCGACCCATTGCTACTTCAGATAACTGATCCATGAGTATCGAAACAGGCGTCCATATCATCATATCCACAAAACCACGAGGCAAGAGTTGGAAACTAAATCAGGAGTGCACATCTCCTTGCAGCATCTTTTTGATAACAACTAAATAAAAAAAAACCGCGTTTGCCAACCCCGCATACATTTTCATAATTTAAATATTGTTTTATTAAAAAATCGACGTGTAAAAGAGCCACCATAATATCTTGGCCAGTGGATGTTGTAAATATCGAGTGTAATGGTTAAAAAAATCTTATAGTACCATCAGTTGTTGGAATAATTATCTCTTATTATGTCTCACCTAGACTTTCCAGACTGGCAACAGGGTGAGTGTTAAAAGGGAGCATTGTAAAAAATATTTCATACAAAGGTTGATAACTGGTATCGATATATAAAGCTTATGTCTAAATACTTGACTAGATCTTTGAAAAAAAATGAGATAATTAGAAAAATAAATGAAACCCATGTCCTTAAAAATGTACAAAATATAGGAAGCCTACATACATACTAGAGATGAGCGGAACCCTGGTTCTGACGGATACACGGCAACTGTATACGCCCAACGCATAATTTTATCGGGTATTATCCGGTGGCGTTTGGAGGCTAAAACCATTCGTTCCGTGGTGGGACATTTACCCTATCCTAAGACGTATTGCAACTTGGTATTTGTGTTGCGTTCTATTCCACTTGCGCTCGGTTCCAGTTCTATCTATAACGAACGCCTTTTTTCTGAGGCAGGTAATGTTTATGAAAGAAAGCGTAATCACTTTGATCCTGCCTGAGGTGAAAAGCTTGTTTCCTTCACCACAATTTGCCCCTAATAAACTTTATGTGTAACTGAATATGAATAAAGTTTTTTTAATTCTATAAAAAATCCTAACAATGTGCCGGATACGTCGTGGTAGGGACCCGATTCAAACCAGGTACCCGTCTCATCTGTAACACACACACACTTATCCATTATATAACAACACTTACGAGGTGATAGAGATATGGCGTCGTTTTGTTCCAAACTAGATAACCTATCACTGTCAATTCCTTGATCTGGTGACGTCGGTCTTTCCTCTTCTGAATAAGCACCTTCTTGTAGCTCCGCAATTTTATTGTCGACTTCTAATGCTACTTTGCGAGTTAACTGTATTTCCAATTGTGAGTTGGTCTCCAATGCATTGGACAGCTTTTCACGTGTTTCCTCTAGTTCCCTTTCAATTTGTAGCCTATCGTGTTGAGCTCTTGCTCTTTCCAATGCCGCTTGCGACGCTTGTACTGTGGCTTCATCCGCCGCACGCCTTAAAGAGCGCTCAGTTTCCAAAAATCTTGATTCTAATTCTTGTCTTTCTGTGCGTACCTTTTCTGTCTGCTGTATGGCGTAAGCAAGCTGTTGTTCGTTTTCCTTTAACCTGGACTCTATGGCTACAAGGGAATTTTTCATTATTTCTAAACTTTTATTGGCTTCGATAACATTATTACGTTCTAAAACCAAAGCAGTAGTCAGCTCATCCTTTTCATTTATTAATTCATTGATTCTTTTCATTGCCTCGTCAAATTTGTTATTAAGATCTTTCTTCTCCTTTTCGAGCTGTTCATTACAATTAGTAAGTTCGCGTATCTCTTCAAGGAAAGCAGATTCATTTATGATTTTGTTGTCCTCAGAACGCGATCCATAGGAAATCCGAGAGCGACGTGACTTTACTTTGTTATTATCTGTCACAGATTCTTTGACACCTAAACCTACACCGGTGTCGCAAAGGCCAACTCTAGCTAAAGATACATTTCTATCTGGTTCTGACCAACATTCTGATTCGGATATTAAGTCTGCCTGCGGGAAATGTTTATTACTCAGTTTTTTCGTGGAACATATTTTGCTATCGTCACTACAAGTAATATGATGTCCAAACATCATAGTCAAATCTTCTATCCTTAACGATTGTGATATGTCAATGTTACTTTCGTCCATTGTGAAGTCTTCGAATGCCATAGTTTCATCTAATTTTAGTCCAACTGGTAACGCCAAGCTTTGTTCTAGGATACTTTCGGCTAATTTCTTTTTATCTTCGCCAAGAACACATCTACAAAATGAATAAAATATAATTTTTTGTTCAGAAATATAAGTCATCATAAAGTTAATCGGTGAAATCATACTTGTGAGATAATAATTTGTCGAGGAAGTACGCCAAGCCTTGCAGTCGCCGCGTCAGTAATTGCTGGAGGTTCCTAAAATGAATAAAAATAGCAATAAATACATTTGATTTTATTGTTTAATAGCTACACTTGCACAATAATGGCTTGGTGGTCCAGTGATTAATCGTTAGGCTGCAGCTACTGCCAAAAAGTTTATTTTTAAATGTATGTCTACTACAAATAATTTATAAAAACGCCTCCAGAATACAGCAGTAATTAGGTTTATTTATAAAAAAAAAATGCGTTTCGTGCCATTTCCCCGCTCCCACTTAAAGTTACTAATTGTTTATAACAAACAACCACGCTAGTATTTTTCAATCGTAATAATTTTGCATCAATCTATTTCTATCTATTTCTCAGTGCAAAAGATTATTTTCGTAATCTTTTACATATCCTATCAACAGCCAACCCAGAATCAGTTGTCCAAACGCATTGAACACAAAAGCTTTTTGCTATTTCCCTATTATTTGCTCTCCTTTCGTTGATAGCGGTTTAACCATCCGACAAATTAAATCTAAGTACCAAATCTAGGCATAGTGGCATACTCTAATTAAAAAAAAGTGCTAGGCCAGTGGGGTTTTGGCACTTTCCTCCTCCCGGTCCTTTTTCTTCGAATTCTCACTTTCACCTGCATGCGGTATACTCGCTGATAAACGAAAGTAACTGGGGCGGCCGAATTATGTCGAATAATCAATCTATTATACAAACTTGTGATGGGATAGTACAGTATTTTCAGTGCGAGTGTTTGGGCTCTACGTTCAACAACCCACCTGCCCATTATGATGAGTATAGGTAAATCTTCCAAGTAACCATTGCTTATTAGCTGGCATAATATATTTGAAAAAAAAACCATGGAGTTAATAAGTTTTTTTTAATTTTTTGTACCCGTGCCCATGATGTTTTGTTTAGCTAATTTTTGTCAATATATTGTATATATAGTAAGTGTTTTAGTATATGTTGTCCAATTAAAAGCACATAATTAACTAAACTGATGGGTTTTCGACCACTATTACCGACACCAACGAGGTAATATGGTTCTGAGTCCGACCAAAAGCAGTTATTGGGTTTTTCAGTCAAGAAATTCTCAGTGGCAGTTCGGAGTCAGGAAGTTGTCGTTGTTTCACCCCTGTGCCTGGGAAAGTGCGTTAAATTGTTGATTCTGCTTTTGATTTCCATGCGGTGTGTCGGATTGCCGTCCCATCACACTATGAAAGCGAGGGAATAGAGAGTACATCTGTGCTTGCATACACACTTGTTCACTATAATCCTGTTTAGCGAACATGTCTACGTTTAGACCGGCCGCCGCCGAATTCGTACTAGAGGAAATTAAATAATTAACTGCTAATACTTACCCAGCAGAATCTTCGTTTTGTACATTTTCAACATTTTTCTGCAATTGTCTTAGTTTACCTTCTAAGTCCTTAATATGTTCATCCTTACATTTTAAAATTTCTTGGTACTTTTCTATTTGCGAATCACTAACATGCGCGTAGGCTAATTCCTTATCCTGAAACAAAAGATGAAAAACTTACAAATATAACTTAAAAGTCATCAAAAATACAATGCAATCACTACTCTTGAATGAGAGCAGAGTCGACGGATATAGGTACCATAGGCCATGTTCAGCAGTGGACTTGTCATGGGCTGCAATGATGTTGATGTTGAATGTGTACTCAAAGAATGTATCAAAAGAGTCAACTAAAGAAATAAGATAAAGGCAACTTAACATTATCAGTGACAGAAGCTGAGTCTCATATAGAAGGCTTATGAGTAATGCGATCTACAGCTGATGAGACTTAAGAAAGACTACTTCACCTGAGGTGTATTTAAAGAAATATTGCAATGATTATATATAATTTTAGGCATTATATGATAAGTCGCTATAATATATGAAATATAAAGCCGCGTATCGATTACCCGTTTCTGGCGCACGCGGCAGCCGTTCCAGTGTTTGACCGTTCAACATGGATACCGGTCGTGTGCGAACAGCTGCCGCTTTCATAGTTTCATGCATCTTCTCTCAGTGCTTTATTATGATAAAAATGGCTATTCTACAACAGATATTTTGAACCATATAATTTTATCAATTTAACTCGGAACGCAACGAACACACGAATGATGAAAACAGCCGTCTCAACTGGCGCGCGCGCCAAAACTTAGCGAAATGCGAATATGCGCTATTGATTATAATCGATCGAATAGAATACGCGGCTTAAAGCCACATATCAAAAGTAATTTTTCAAACTACTTCAATAAAGGAGCAGGTTCTTAATTCGTCAGAATCTTTTTTATGTATGTTCACCGATTACTCGAAGACGCCTGAAAAGATTTGGAAAATTGTTTATTGTTTCAAAGAGTATACTTCCCAGGTGGTCCCATTTAAATGTAATCGAAATCAGTTGAGCGGTTTTTAAAAAATCAACAATAAATTATTTATATTGCAGTCGGTTGTACACAATTTTTAAATTTGACCACTTGTATTATAATAAAGCGCTCAGAGAAGATGCATGGACAGAACTATAAAGCTCCTCGTATACGACCGATATGCATGTTTAACGGTCAAACGCTGGAACGGCTGCCGCGCACGCCAGGCGCGCTTAGTTGATACACTTGGAACATTTAGAGCACGTTCCGCGGAACGCTCTGGTCGGCGCGGTCACAGCGCGTAATCGATACGCAGCTTAACTTTTAACAGTAAGTACCAATTTCAATTTTTTCATTTCTTTATCTTGTTGCTGTATTTTCTTCAAACATTCTTTAATCATCTGCATAGCTTTGTGGTTTTCCTTCCGAAGCTTTGTTAACTGATCCTGAAAAATTGAACTCAGTTAGTCTTAATATAATTTAAAAAAATAAGAAAGCATGTGGTACATACGTAATACGACGGCATGGAGTGACTACCTAACGAAACATGCAAACATAACTTTGTGACAACCTACGAGGGAAGCCTACGTGGTGGTTTCTAAGGTTCCTACGGCGCCATGATTTCAATACGAATTCGCATAGATCTCGACGAGATACGCCGAAAAATAAGACTACAATTTTTCCCAGATATCGATACTCTAAAACCACTATCATTGCAGAATTTAGGGCAACCTGACTATAAAAATAAGATAGGTTGAATCTGTAGTAAAACCAAATCAGCACGCCCCGACTCCACATAGTCTTGTCTGCCCTACCCCTAGTGTTTTTGTACAACCGTAGGCGCGGAGGGAGAGCAGCCCCCGTCCGCTGTAGCAAATAGCAGGCACCTGTACGAGCCGTAGCGGCTGAGGCTGACTATAAGCCACAGCTGCGGAGGTGAGCATGGATGCCTGCGATTTGCTACTCAATGATAAAGGGGCTGCATTTATCGCAGCGCAATTTCTTACTTTTCGGCATATCTCGTCGAGATCTATGCGAATCCGCCTTCAAATCGTGATGCCGTAAGAGCCGTAGTCGTGCCCCTATGTGGATCAGCATTTGACTTGTAATGGGCTGTGATGATGGTGATGATAATTATGATAGTGGTGGTGGTAGTGGTGATGATGATGATTAATGTATACTCTATCATATAATAATGTATATTAACAAAACAAAATAAAATAAAATAAAATAAAATTACAATGTGATTTGTTTTTTCTCGTATAAAATGTTGAGAAAAGGAGATGTATGATATTGGGTTGTTGACATCGTAACAGTTATACAAATATATGTAGGTAATATAACGTTAAATTATAAGCATTAATAAATGGTTTTTATTTCTGTAGTCCTTGGGACAATTATAAAAACATTTTTTTTAAAACTGAAATAGAAAGTTAATGCTTTTGCTTTAGTAAAAACGAAACGCTTTTAAATATCTTTCTGTTCTGTCTATGGCAATAGATAATGAAGACTATTTTTATACTAAAATAACCTTCTTTACCAAAAAAAAATCATAATAATGAAACATTGACGCGAATCTGTAGTTATTAATATTGAATAAAATAATATATTTAGAAAAAGAATGAATAGGCTATGTCATTAAATCAAAAAACATTTGAATATTATCCTACACGACTGAATAGGCTGTATGGTTATTGATCATTGCATATTCCGAAGGAGACAACTTGGTAATTTTAAGTTTCAGCTTTTCCATGCAATAAATTTTTATACTTGATGCGAAAAATTACCTCACCAAATTGTTCAATTTGTAATATTATCGATGATGTTTATCACATTTTGATAGAATGTGCCCAGAACTCAAGAGAAAGAGCAAATTGTAATTTACATTTGTCCTTAATTGGTAGTAGTAACAGTATTTTATCCGACCCGTTATCAGATGATGCCAAAAAACTGTATTTGTTAATTAATAAGAGATTAAGTAACTAGTAAACATAATAAGTTTATTTGTTAGTAATTATATTTAAGATTTTTTTGTAACTACCAGGGCGGCATAATCGCATTAGGGACAAAACCTTTATTTATGAATAAAATAAAAAGAAAAGTTTCAGCTTGTCATGCGGCATGTGCATTTGGCATTGTAGCTGTTTTTTTGATAGATTTCGTGTTTTTACTTTCGTGGATTTATTTAACATGACTCTTGGATTTTCTCTCGGATCACAGGACAGGTTGCGCCCATATAATGAAAATAATGTGATACTTAAGTTTTGAGAGGAATAGAACAGACAATGTACAGCCTCCGGCTGTGTTTTTAGATGACATTTTATTGATAATTGCAGAAAATAGTTAAACAATTAAAAAAGGTTGAGTTTTATTTTACTTTACATAATAATAACTACAAAACTGCATTCTTTTGTGTTTTTTCTATTTATTCAAACAACATATCACAAGAACGAGTGATTTACTACATAACATACAAATCATAAAACAAAATAAAAACAAAAAACCCCAGGCCAGGCAAAAATATGATTTTTGGATATAAGTAGCAAATATTTAAATCTTCAAACTAACACATATTTTAAGTTTGTTCACGCCGGGCCCAAGCTTTTTTATACATTTTGTAGTTCTTCGAATATTTATTTCACCTTAACGAAAATAGTTCCTAACGATTATAAAATCTGTTTTATTGATCTCGCAACAGGTGTATTTCGAAATTAATAACCGCATTAACACTAATTTGCACCATTTTGCTTTTTAACATTAATTTGCAACACTTACCAAATCGTCATTGTTCACCGTTACAGCAAGATAGTCTCTGAAAAAAAAAGTAATTCAACTCAACATAATTATACATAATATATTACTCCAAGCGTTTTAAATCTGAATCTATATAAATAAAATGAAATAGGTTTGCAGTTGTGCCCGCATCAAGGAAAAACTACTGGATAGATTTCATATTTCTTAGACACTTGGCCCTTATCTAAAAAAAAAAATATCGCGATATCTTCATTTAATATAAATTTATTAAAGTTTTAAGAAACAACGATTATTATAAGCACTACGTGTACAGTGAAATGTTTTCTTGCTACGGAGAAGTGGGGCAAGCGGTGTAGCGCGCATGCGTAGGAGAGGGGAAGTCGCTTCTACCTCTGTCTCATTATAAAGTTAGGGCCAGCCGCGCTTTATTTGCGCGTGCGACCTGATGCCATTTAGTTGTACCTTGATCAATCGCTCCCATAGTTTATTATAGTTTTCCTATAGTTTCTATAGTAACTTTGTTAATATATCAAGCAACGCCGACGAAGTCGCGGGTATCAGCTAGTCACTAATAAAACCGTGTAAATTACTACAAATTCATGAATTACTGAAATTCTTAGTCAATTTTAAAATTTCAATAATTCTTTTAAAATTAGCCTTTCAATTCCAATAGATCCACCTCACCACCTCATGGAATAATCTATGGGGGAGATTTAAGTTCAGCAGTGGACTTTTGATAGCCTGTAGTGAATGAAAACGTTATGAAACTCACCCAGCTGACTCTGATTCGGGATATGTGTCATCAACTGCTTCTGTTTGATTTTCTGTATTCTGTAATATAAATATTGTACGTTAAATTCCTACTTAACAAAAATAATTTTGTAAATTTTGTTTAGGATTAGGGCATTTATGATCGTAAATAATGATTTTTAAAATGAAGATTGAAGTCATTCGAAAGTTCGAAACGGTAATAACATTAACATCAAAATATTCAAACTATGATTCACAATTTATTCTACCTCGGGGACAAATTACGAATAATAATGTAAAGTAGTCCGATGTGGAGGAATTGCAGTTGGGACTTTTTTGTGCGTATAACACAATACGGACAAAGTATATGATATCAGCATCATATGGAACGCTAACGCGATAAGGCTTGGGTACAATATGCATATGTGGTACAGGATACATGAATGATTACTATGCAACAGACCATTTATTTAACATAGTCAAAGTCAACTAATGAACATTAAAATGGTCCGGTCTAAAAGTAAGACCTCTACAACTACAATGGAGTGCCGACAAAATGCTCCGGGGCTCTTTATTTCTTATGATGACGGCATTGCGCCTTTCTAAATTTGGAAACTATATTATGTTGTAGCACTGGCTCCAGCTAGAATTTAAATTACAAACGACGCTCCACCAAACACTCCGAATTATTTATTACACCTCACTAATTTAAGTGGTTCACATTGATGACACATCTTGTATAGTAGACTAACATTATAATCGTAAAAGGGAAAATTTTTAATGAAAGAAAATTATATAGATCACTTGTAAAACAATAGATAAATAAAGTGTATGCTCGAAAGCTCACGTGACAAAGAAATGGTGTCGATCCAATTTAACGCAAAGCTATGCAAATTTATGAAGTTACTTAAAGATAGTATACTTATTATCAATATGTATTTTGTACACTATATGTAGCTACGTAGTACACTCTATAAGAAAGATTTTGTAAATGGCGCCATGGGAAAATTACAAGTGTGTTTATTAAACCGCCTTACAAGATTCGCCTGACGAGATTTTGACTGCTATTTTTTCGACTGTATATTCAAAGGATTTGTATAATTTAAACTACTTCTATGAAAAAATAAAAAATATATAACCTTTACTTCTTCGTTTTTTCTCATTCCGCCACAGTTGTTCATTGACGTTTCTACGCCTTCAGCTGAGATAGAGCCCTGGTGAAAGATAGTGAAAACTCAATGTTTACTGTAAAACACCCTTACTATTGATTTTAAAGATTTTATACACATATTTTATCAAGACAGCCTTTGAACTAAAATGTAACTCTACTAGCTTTAGATTTTTAAATATCATTACATGTTACTTTTTTAACATAAAGGTATGAATGCAACTAAATGCTATTGTCCTGGGTAGTCGCAATAAAATTCATTGTATGCAAGTAACACACGTTTTAATCTCGGTATTGGCACCATGGTACTTGTTATCCTATCTATACCTTATGTAAGCAAAAACTTTAAATGAGATTCTTGTATATGTATAATCTGATATACCTAGTCAGATCATAAGTATTGTCACACAGTAAAAACTTTTCTTTTAGAATGCTGGCCACAAAAAAGTTTATTGAATTCGAATTTCGAATTGTTCATGAAAAAACAACCGTATACTTTTTAGAATTTTACTCATTTTTAAATATGGAGTGGACGCTTAAAGAAGACCGTGTTGCAGTTATTGCGTTGCATCGTTGCGGTTACGCGCCAATTCAAATTTTTGACATACTGAAAAATTTGAATATAACCAAAAGATTCATTTATCGTACCATTAAACAATACAATGAAGACTCTAGTGTAGATGACAGGTCAAGAAGTGGTCGCCCTCGGTCTGTTAGGACTCCAGCAGTGATAAAAGCTGTGAAGGCGCGAATTCAAAGAAATCCCAAACGTAAGCAGAAACTGTTGGCCCTTCAGATGGGGTTAAGCAGAACCACGGTGAAAAGGGTGTTAAATGAAGACTTAGGGCGTCGGGCATATCGAAGAAAAACAGGACATCGTTTGAATGCTCGTCTAATGGACCTGAGACTGAAGAGATGCCGCGCTTTGTTGAAGCGGTACGCGGGAAAAAAATATCGGGAAATTCTTTTTTCGGATGAAAACATTTTTACCGTAGAAGAGAGCTACAACAAACAAAATGATAAGGTGTACGCACACAGTAGTGAAGAAGAGAGCAACCGTATTCCGCGTGTCCAACGAGGTCATTTTCCATCCTCGCTCATGGTATGGTTGGGCTTAACAGAGGTACATTTTTGTGAGAAAGGTGTAAAAACGAATGTAGTTGTGTATCAAAATACAGTCCTGATGAACCTTGTGGAACCTGTTTCTCATACCATGTTCAATAACAGGCACTGGGTATTCCAACAAGATTCAGCGCCAGCTCATAGAGCGAAGAGCACACAAGACTGGCTGGCAGCGCGTGAAATCGACTTCATCCGGCACGAAGATTGGCCCTCCTCCAGTCCAGATTTGAATCCGTTAGATTACAAGATATGGCAACACTTGGAGGAAAAGGCGTGCTCAAAGCCTCATCCCAATTTGGACCCACTCAAGACATCCTTTATTAAGGCAGCTGCCGATATTGACATGGACCTCGTTCGTGCTGCGATAGACGACTGGCCGCGCAGATTGAAGGCCTATATTCAAAATCACGGAGGTCATTTTGAATAAACTTGAGTGTCATAAGAATCTATGTTTTGTTAAGTTCATTTTGGTATATAAATGGTTACATAATGAATAAACTTGTTTCAATTATTTTATATTAAACATGTGACAGAATTAATGACCTGACTAGGTATATACATGTAATTGGTTTCTAGGAAACGGTTCTAACGACAAGAATTCGATTTTGTGTTTAGATAGGTAATGTTTTAACTTATCAAGTTAGTCTAAGGTTTCAGCCCTAAAAAAAATATTTTCTTTGTCTAACGACAAGCAAAGCTCGGTCGTCTAGGTAATTGATACATTATGTAACTACATAAACATTATTATGTCTTTAATACCTGATTTTCCAATACGTCAATGGCTTCCGCAGCTGCTGCCAGTAGTTCTTGCTTATCACTAAGCTGCCTTCTGAGTTCTTCAACTTCTACTTGAAGCCTCACATTATGTTCCAGTAAACCCTAAGCCACATAAAATGCATTATATTACGCATACTTTAGTAATTTATTCATTACAAGCCCATCAAAAGTCCACTGTAGGCCTCCTCCATAGAATATCTAGGGCGATATTTGTAGTTCTATATTGCCCATTTCCTGTTTCAATTGTGGCGGAGTTAGAGAATCAACTACCTCATATCAGCTAGTTAGTGTCGTGAGGAACGCCAGAGTGAAATGGAATATTGAGATTATGTATATTAAGAGTTTCTTTATATTAGTTCAATCACAATATTATGTAGCTTCATGTTGAAAATTCTTAGGCAACCTCTATTCGAATGCTTTTACATCACGTCATATAATTTTAACCTCGGCAATGGAGTCAATGTTTTTTAATAAAACAAGATTTTCTCCTTTGTTGTGGAGGCAGTTTACGTACATAAATGCATAAAGACAAACATCCAGACCAGGAACAGTTATTTGTAGGCCATACAAATACTTGTTTCGTGCCACTGCGTCACGGAGCCGTCAAATTGCAATTGCTGTAATATGTTGGATTACTACTACTACAGACCATCACAAGTTCACTGCTGACCATAGGCATCCTCCATAGATTGCCACAAAAAACGGTGCTGAGCCTGAGCTGAGTATCTATCGACTGCCTATGTGTTTAATCAGTTCGTCACCTAGTGAGGGTCGTTAACACTGCGCTCGCCAGCACGACGCTACCACTCGAGTACCTTTCTTCCCCATCAGTTGTCGGTTCTTCGAGCTATGTGGCTTGCCCATTGCCACTTCAGTTTACTGATCTGCTGGGCTATGTCAGTTAATGTGTTCTGCGGATATTATTACGCATAGAAATTCCATCGCACGCTGAGTGACTTCAGAGCCTATTCATACGGCCAGCAATGAAAAGAAACTTAAACGTGATCTTCGTTACAGTTATGTAAGACATCACTGGCAACACGCACTAGTTGTACACTTTGTCTTAAAATTTTGGGGAATATCAGAAGACAAGAATAGTGTAATTTTTTATTTTTCAACTTTGCAAATATTTTGGACGTGAACGGAAATCAAATATCTTAATATTTTATTTATTTATTCTTTATTGCCTTGCCTTGAGGCATTTTCTGTCAATCAACTATCCAAAATTCGTAGTTTTTTATTTAATTAGGGCTATGCGCGACATTTGATTCATTTTTTATCAATTTAATTATAGTAGTAATACATGTCATAAATATATAATATAAAGCCTATTAAAGTATTTTACAAAAATCGCTGAAAAATGTATTCATTTAAAAAAATAAACACAACTTTGTTTACCACTATTTAACGTTGTCGAAGAGATTCAGTACAATGCAACAAGGATAAGGAGTCAATTGGTCACGTTCAGGTTTGATTTGTTACCATGTCAAAATAGCAGGTTAGGCGTTTATTTCATAACAGTAAATGCAGGTACTTGCTGCGTTTACCGATATGAAATAAAACGTCTACACTTTATTAAAGCATTAACTAACTTTTGTTGTTTAAGTCATTAAAAAAATACTTTATGCGCACTGCGTCGGATTGCATCGGATTTCGTTAAGATGGTAATTATAAAGAGGGATCAATTTGATTTATTATGGGCTGCAGTAACTACCATCAGGTGGACAGTTTTGTATAATAAAAAATAAATTTTTAAATTCGTTACTTACTTGTACTGCCGGTGGTGCTCCATTGCCTAACTTTTCTTCAAGAAAATATATCCTTAATTTCAAATGAAAATTTTCTTTACGTAATGAGTTTAATTGCTCTTCATATTGTTTCATGCTTACACCACTGGCAATCGTTACATCTAGAAACAAAAGTAACAATACTTAATATATTACAAATATAAAAAGTGTCACACTCACATGCATGCTAACATATGTACATACAATCATTGTTAGAGAATAATTAATAGAAATGCGCGTCTCCGTGTCAATCGCGCTTTTCAAGTGATAATTTTGCTTATTAGGCATCTATTTCGCAACAAACATATTTTTTTTTAGATTTAATGAGGCGGGGATAGCAAATTTTAAGTATTATCCCCGTAAAATGTGTTGAAAAAACATGCCATAGACATTTGCGATACTTTTAGAGATGTCATGCAATTTTTAAAACAAAACTATGTGTGTAAAATTAAGCACAATGAAAGAATACACGTTATTAACACGTTTTTATTACTTTCATCTGTATCTATGTATGTACGAATGAATGGACTTTTTTAATTCAGTTTTCATCCATTTCCATCATGTGAATGATCTGAATTTTCTACCCCGAGCAAAACGAGATGTTTAGCCGCTATGTAATTTTTCCGGGCCGATACGACTTAGGGACCTTTAAGAAACAAGCTGACTTCCTTTTTAAAGGTCGGCAACGCACCTGCAATTCCCCTTCACGGGTAAGGTCGACAAATACCATCAGGTGAGCCACATACTCTTTTGCTTCCTCTTCTATATAAAAAAAAACGAACAAAGAAAACAATATGCATTTTTGTCAAAAACCGTCGCGGGCGTGTACAAACAAATTCACCAAAGTTTCATGGTAACCGGAAGAATAGTATAGGAATGAATACGGGATAAACATCTAATTCATGGTCTCTATCATTTGTACGAGCCAGTCGACTGTAAAATTTAAGGGGGATAAATTATTTAACTGGCAAATTAGATATAGAAAAATTTGAAATTAGAAGAACCTAAGAAAGCATTATAACAATAAACATTGGTACATATTTATGTTTGCTTTTTTCTTGCGCTAAAAACAGAATCGAATTTAGTTCCATAACAAAAAAATTGCGCCGCTCCAGTGCAAATTGACGGACGGCACATTGTTCCGCTTTTCTTAATATAATTATATAAAAAAAAACTTACCATGTCCATCTGGCGTAGGGAGAGTCATTTCTTGCAGTTTACGTGGACTTGTACTAAAATGAAAAAATAAAATATTTTAATGCTTGACAATTAATAATAATAACGAATCAAACGATAAAAATCAGACGCGTACGAATAAGATTTGCGCTCTGATGGTTCCGTGTAAACTTAATTATGTATATTGTTAGTTCATCCATCATCGGAATTATAACACCGTACCGTACATTGCTCAAACGAAAAGGTACGTTGGCTTTAAGGACAAACCTAACTTTTCAGTGGAAATTGTTTATTTTTATCTGGTTGTACATATTGCAAATTGGGCTTGTGTTTTGAAACTGCATCAGACGCTTCCCCGATGTTAGTACATCTGAGTGGAAGAATAAATAAAGATCACTAACTTTAAATTGAGTGTACATACATATTCCAGAGATTTTTTACTAAAAAAAAATACAAAACTATATGTGATAAACCATTTAATTCTATAACATATTTAGTAATAGCAATCCACACCGGGTCTGCTTTGATAGGTTCTTGTGGCAATATTTCGATTTAATATAATCAAATACCATTTATCAATACAACATATTATATCAAATTTAGTTTTTATTTTAATCTATACAAATAAATAAAATTAAAGTGTCTGTTTGTAATATTAAAATAACAGCTTTTTACTAAATCCATATGAAAGTATATATTATAGTACTAAATAACAACAAAACAATTTTTAAAATTTATGTCCGTGTGTTTGTTCCGGCTAATCTCCGAAACGGCTGGACCGATTTTGAAGGTACTTTCACTGGCAGATAGCTGATGTTATAAGGAGTAACTTAGGATTCTTTTATTTTAGAGAAATAATTAGGGTTCTGCGCAAACAAATTGAAACCCATAAAAATCGTAGTAAATTCCACGCGGACGAAATCGCGGGGAACAGCTAGTCCCCAATATTTTCGAATAAAATCAAGCCTTAATCCCTCCCGGCATTGTTGTCTATCTCTTCGTAAAGTATTATCATAATCGGTTCCGAAGATAAGCTCGTAGAGACAGACAGACAGACAAATTTTGTTTAAATGTTTGTTCAAGTCTCAATATCATATCATGCAGTTAGTCTCTATTACATATAAATTTCAATACAAAATAATATATAATTCATATATAATATAATTCAATACAGATACAGATATACACTTCAATTTTATTTATGTATATCCTTATTTTTTCAATTACCTACTTTAACTTTACATCATTGGTTGTTAGTAAAAGATTAATAATTATATTTATATATATATATATATATATCTTATAACTGCATTAAATTAAACTACATTAACTTTGCCGATGGAACTTCTCCGGAATCTAGAAGGCATGGGTGATGTCCCCCCTTACGGCCAAGATCCATAAAGTCCAGCCTATGCCAACATACTTGAAACGCTACAGAATCGTGGCAATCCCAACAAGATCCTGAGTGCATTGTATGTTGTATTGCACTCTGGGGACATTGTAGGACTGCTGCGTATATCGGACCCACAGGCTACTTAATAGTCCCAAATACCATTTTTTTTTTATAGGATAAGTGTGACAAACGGGCACACAGTCCACCTGTGGCCAATAGACATCTACATTTAAAAAAGGGTAAGGTAAAAAGGGTCTCCGGTTCTATACACTCACCATACGAAACACAGCAGCGTTAAGATGCTATTTTACGCTGGTATTCTGTGAGAGCGTGGTCGAGCCGACCTATTCGTGCTAAAACTATACTACTAACTAGCTGCTCCCCGCGGCTTCGCTCGCGTGTTAGGGTATTTATGTCTTTGCGCGGAACCCTAATTCTTTTTCTAAAATAAAAGTAGCCTAAGTTACTCCTTATGAAATCAGCTATCTGCCAGTGAAAGTCCCGTCAAAATCGTTTCAGTGATTAGCCGAAATAAACAGACAGACAGACAAAAATTTTAAAAATTGTATTTTAGTTATAAGTACCGTATTTACTTTCATATGCATTTAGTAAAAAACTGTAATTTTGACATTACAAACAGACACTTCAATTTTATTTATTTGTATAGATATAGCTGCAGCATGGCTCTACCACGTGGTATTCATTAACAATCATTTAATAGACGGTTACGTTTCTTACTTATAAAACTATGGTTAATGAATTTTTTGTTAACATTTTTGTTTGTTTGTTCCTAAAGTTTCATACACTAAGGTTAAAACCGCGATCAATAAAATAGAGTAAAGGTGCCAAATATGAGATATGTACTATTTAAATTTTTGCGTATTTCTCGTAAAATATTGTTACGAGCTTGGGGTTCTAGACATTTAAAAACGGCCGATTGAATTACCAAAATTGACACTTTAATTACAGAACACTAATTACAATCTAAAACCACGCTAATAATAAAGTACAATTGTACTACTGATCACTTTTATTGATCGCAGTTATTTCGCTTCAAAGTATTCTCTTGTATCGCCAATTCAATACTGACTCGGTCGTGGTCTATACCGGCTTTATATAGGGCCTCAGATAGTTTCCAGAACCTTCTACAGTAGAAACATCTAGAATGTTCGAGTACATATCGGTCCCGTAATTTCTAGAAGGATCTTGACTCTCCTAGTTCTGCTACTCGACACTAGAGGGCGCTAGTGGTAACTAGTGTTGCCATATACAAGACATTAATAGTGGCGAGCAAACATATCACAGATAAGAAGGTAATTTTACCTGATAATAAATTAAGAAGTTTTTAATGTTTATTTCAAAACTATAAATATTTTAGTAAAGGTGCTTTTGCATGCACCCAGATGCATGCTGTTTGGAAAATCTTATGTTTTGTTGGTCAACACATTCCAGGATTATCGTGTAACCAGGTTTCCATTATCGATCCCACTGGAGCATCCTCCATTAGATATTATGATATAGAAAGTTCGAACTACCGTTATTCCAGTCTCATCAATGTTGAATGTCTGTGTGGAGAAAAGTTTATTTTTACCATTGCTGATTCAATATAATATTGAAAAGTGATTTTACGGCGTCTGGGTTAAATCATCCAAGAAAAGAAAACAGCTTCGAGTGTCCTGTCTGCTTATGAAGCCTTGATAAACGAGTCAGTCACTTAAGACCTCTTTTATACACATCAGAAGATAGATCACCATCAGAAGTAGCAATACCGTATCTAAGCCGCATTAATCGCCACTGCATTGTAGTAAAAATTACTTCCGTTTTTCGGACACGCTTTAGAACACGCCTTATAAATTCTATTGCCCTTATTTAAGTGCTGTTACAAAGTTGTACCTACATAATTTTCCTCGACTTTTAAATTGTGATTATAAGCATGAAAAATGAACATGAACAATTCAGTAGTAGCGTAAAGCCCTGAGAGCTTGTGGGCTAAGCGCTTACAGTATATTTTTTAGTACGCGAAGAACCCGGGTTTTATTTCCGTTAATTATTGTAATTTATGGTGCTGACTTTAAGACGTACTTAAAAATGTAAAGAACTTCGAAGACATGTGAAATCCGCCAACACGAACTAGGACAGCGCGGCAAACTAAATACTCCATAACTCAGAAATGAGGCCTGGGCCCGGCAGTAGGACGTGCACGTAAATAGGCTGTATCTTCATTTTAACTTTACTACAAGCTACGGACTGTAAAGTAACTTTATATTCCTTCATATTCATTGTGACAAAATACAAGCCGTAGCCGGTAGCACATTCTCAATAACTTCTTTAATCCTATTTAACCATTTGGTTTTGTTTTGTGCCCATTTACGCCCGTAATTAATAATCATAAGGAATCGATTACCATCAGCGATTTTTCCGGACCGATACGACTTAGGGACCTTCAAGAAAAGAGCCTACTCCTTTTTAAAAGGCCGGCAACGCATCTGCAATTCCCCTGGTGTTTCAATTGTTCATGGGCGGCGGTAGTCACTTACCATCAGGTGAGCCGCATGCTCGTTTGCCCCCTCTCCTATAAAAAAAATCAATCCTGATCCAATTTTAGCTATCTAAGATTGATATTTTAGTCTATTTTATGGGTTAAGCGTACCAATAAACAATCTATGCATTGAGTTTGCTATCTTAAAAATCAATCTATCTTATAGAGGGCGAAAAACGATTGGCCTCTTTTCGAAAATGACAGTTTGCGCGTGGTAATAAATAACCCATCTGTCGATGTTGATATTTGTTTTGATCGGTGTGAACAATCGGGATTGCAATCCAAGAAATACCGTGAATTTCGTCACAGCGTTAATTTTATTAAAAGAAGAAAATGGAAATATCGATATTTTACAGTGATAGTGATGACAGATTTTACACGATTTGCGGGTGCTGGCTCAATTATCTGATTGCGATACTGATAGCGACGCTGAAGATAGACACCGCGCTTCTTCACGAAAAATTAGAAGGTAAACTCCAATGAGAGTCTGGATGATGTCGAGTTCATGTTTAGGTTTAGGTTATCCAAACCTGCTTTCAATTCGCTATTAATGAAATTGAAGCTATTTATTCGTGTACAAGGTAAATAATCGTATTAAGATAAAGCTTTTACCTGGTGTTTCCCGCATTCTTGAGGACTTTAGCTACTTGGATACTGTTGAGTTCGTAAGTATTAACTGAAATCATGTTATATTTGACGCTGTATGTTTTAATATACTCGTAATATAATAGGTCTTGGTACCTATGAAATTGCCGTTATGTGGTGACTGGCCATTTCAAAACAAAATAATTTTTGTTTGGCTAAGAATTCTAATTTCAAATTAATTTTATTTTAAAAACATGGAATTCTTTTTTCAAAATTAGTCATTTGTTTATTGACTAGCGTTATATTTTCATCGGATTTGAATCTTTTTCGTCATCATGGATACGTTAAAAATTAGAGGAATTATGGAATATGAGTATCGTCGTGGCAGCAACTCGGCACAAGCGGTACGCAACATCAACGACGTTTACGGAACGAATACTAAGAGTACAAACGAACGCACCCCCTGTTATTGATTTGCCCGCTTCCGTTCTGGAAATTTCGACCTGAAAAATGAACCCCGTGGTCGTCCGAAAACTTTGGTTGACAATGACGAATTATAGGCGATTATGGAAGCTGATGATACTCAATCTACGGCTGAATTAGCAGCAACTTTCGACGTTAGCATCAAAACAATAATCTGCGTTGTTGGCAATTGGCAAGGTAAAAAGCTTGACAAATGTGTGCCCCACGAACTCAATGATCGCCAGCGCGAAGTACGCGTCGAGACGTGCCTTGCACTGCTCAATCGGCACACAACGAAGAAATTTTGAACCGGATTGTTACTTACGACAAAAATGGATTCTATTTGACAATCGCAAGCGCTGTTGTTGATTGGATTCTGGTTCAGCACCTAAACAATGCCCTAAACGAAAACTTAACCCTAGAAAAGTGATGATCACTGTTTGGTGGTCTAGCGCCGGTGTGATTCATCACAGCTTTTTACCAAACGGGATGCGCATTATTGCAGATGTGTTCTGTGAAGAACACTATGATGGAGAAGCTCGCACGTCTCCAACCAGCTTTGCTCAATCACTCGTCCCCGTTGCTGCTGCACGACAACGCGCGACCTTATACTGCACAACAGACGGTTTCCAAGTTACAACAGGGTTGCAAGCTCTCCGTCATCCGCCGTAATCAGCAGACCTTCCGTCTTCAGACTTCTATTTTTTCCATAATTTGTATAACTTTTTGGCGGGAAAAAATTTAATACTCTAGGCCAGGGGTTGGCAACCTGCGGCTCTTTGGATGTGAAGCTGCGGCTCTTTAGTTTCATACGCAAATATTATTTTATAAAAAAAAAAAATTTAAAATCGATCTAAACTGAGCCATTTGGAGTTGATACTGGATCTCTAGAAATGCAATTGATCGATTTAAAAAGTAAAGCTTTGTGGAATTGAAAATTTACAAAGTTGAAAAGCAAGTTGAAAGAGTTGGAGGTTCAGAAATGTGTGTACGTAACGCAACTAAAATTAACAGCTTTAAAATAAATGCCGCGAGTTGAGGCACTTATATTCGACGCATGGAATAGTCTTCCAGATTGCTACAGTGAGGTGAAGAAGTTGGCATTTGGAGTGCTGACTACCTTCGGATCGACATATTCGTGCGAGCAAGCGTTCTCTTGCATGAATATAATTAAAAGTAAAGTAAGAAGTCAACTAACAAATGAAACAAACTTAAAACAACAAGTTATGAACCAAATTTATCAAAACTTTCTAAAACCATGCAAAGCCAACGCTCCCATTGAATTTGTTTGCTCAGATGTATGTTATTGTTTTTTTTTTATTTTTAAGTAAAAGTTACATTGTTTAGTAAAGTTTAAATTTTCTACTTGAATAACCGTGCAAAGCCAAAGCTCCCGTTGAATTTGTTTGCTCAATTGTTTGTTATTGAAGTACAAGTTAGTGTTCTAATACTTACAATGTAGTTTTTCACTTAAATAATAAGTGATTATCTAATAATGCCATATATATATAATAATTAGATAATAATCGAAATTAGATTCTAATTTATTGTGAAAAACACTTTATATATGAATAAATATACATTTTTCTTATGAGTAAATAGATTAGGTTTTTTTATTAAAAAACTTTATTTATGCAAGTACTATTTATGATTGCAAGAAAAAAAATTGTGGCTCTTTAAAACTGTGAAATTTTGTAAATTGTAATTTTGACTCTTCCGACTCAAAAGCTTGCCGGCCCCTGCCCTAGGCAGTACAAAATGGCTTTGAAGAATTTGTTGCCTCCCGCATAGCTTATTTCTTCAAAAAGGGCAAAGATGCATCGATTGCATGGGTGATGATGGTGACTGATTGATAAAAATAAAATATAGAAAAAAAAACACATCTTATGTCATAAAAAACGGCAATTCACAATCAAAACAAAATCATAGGTTCACTAATATTTGAGTAATATTAGTGATCTCAATAATTTGGTCACTTTGGATGATTGAATTAATGATCACTTTAGTTTAGATGTTTCAATATAATATCATCATCAACATCATTACAGCCCTTCACAAGTCCACTGCTGAACATAGGCCTCCCCCAAAGAATGCCACAAAGCACGGTCCTGAGCCACCTGCATCCATCGACTTCCTGCATGTCTTACCAGGTCGTCACTCCATCTCGTGGGGAGACGCCCTACACTTCGCCTACCGGTACGAGGCTGCCACTCGAGAACCTTTCTTCCCCATCGGTTGTCGGTTCTTCGAGCTATATGGCCGGCCCATTGCCACTTCAGCTTACTAATCCGTTGGGCTATGTCGGTAACTCTGGTTCTACTGCGGATATCCTCATTCCTAAGTTTATCACGCAGAGAAACTCCGAGCATAGCCATCTCCATAGCTCGCTGAATATAATATAATATACCTTTTGACAATGGCTGTACCTACTACTACTAAGAAACATATAAGTTTTATCCGAAATTGGACAAGTATTTGTCACATTATTCTTAAAACAAAAGCTTAAAATAGTGTAAGTTCGCTTATAGATTATTTAATTTTTTCCGTCATTTTTGACCATCTAATCTAAAGCATAGGTTAATACGGGAGTAAAAATCACTAGGAGCTAACATTTATGAAATAGGTTAATAGTCATATCCTTATGTATTCATATGCTTTCCTTCAAAAGAACCTTCAGATTATAATAAGAATATAATATTATCACCATGACATGATATTGATGTTGACATTCTCCTCACCGATTTCAACATCAGCGATTACTTTGAATATTGTGCGGAGCTATCATTTGGGCGCGAGTGTATATTATACCAAAGTAATAGAGGTGATAAGAGGCACTCTGTCGTTCAAACCTGACAAAGATTGGAGATAAGCTACGGTGCCGTGACAAAGACACGGTATAATCAAAACATAACAAGAGCGGAAAGGCAACAATGTGTTTTATCACAAATGTTGGCAAGGATGCAAGGATGCGAGTCCAGGACACTCGGGATTATTTAGTCAGATACTCTGACCACTAGACCACGCAGTCGTCTAGTTAGTTGGAAGCAATTATAGATAGTCGTAAGGATTGTTCGAATAGATAACTATTTAAATTGTTTGTGTAGAATTAATATACTTGGGACTGTAGTTTATCAAGAATGCAACAGTATGTACCTACATTGAACGATTTATTAGTTCATATTTTCTTCAAAAATAATTTCTCGATAACTATTCTCGTAAATACAAAGGATATTACTAATAAATAAACAACACGAAAAGTAGATTATTAAAGAAATTTCAACATTACATAAAGACACGTCTATTATTATATTGTGAATTAGATGATTTCGTTTTCGAATAGATTTTTATAAAAATATCTAAATAAGAACAGCTGCATGAAAGTTAAATATCAGTTTTTGCATTTTACAAAATAGGTTCCGTTTAATAGATAAATACATTATATCTATAGTAATTATTATAGATATTACTATGTTTACCTAAACGCCGAAGATATACTATTCCCGTGTTTTGAATGATTCATTCTTGGTAATGTCGCCATCCTGACGCGACACAATTCTCACTTGTCACAAAAATCCGACACACAAAATAAATAATATACACATCCAAACACTGCACTGTGCTATATTAAAATAACACTATACAAACTTCACTGTGAGTTCTGGGTTCACATCTATTTATACTGTGAAAATATGTTTGATCCACATAACATTTGCACTTTTTTTATCATTAAGTGTTATTAATGTAATAATAGGATGTTATTAATCACCTAATTAAACATTTTTAACGATTAAAGTAAACAAACAGATTGATTACTACGGCGTTGCATCACATTTTGCTCCTGTGTTCTCTGTTTACGGGAGGGTACTGAATTTAGGACGTCTCGTCTCGTCGACTGTGATTCGGAGTTGCTCGCTCGATTCCGTAACGTGGAGATAGAAAATATTAACATTTTGAATAGAGATAAAAAGGGATAGATGTGATGGGGTGGGAGACGGATGCTGCTCGGTACATAATCACAGCGCGCAGAAATAGAAGTATCTGCGCAGTAAAGTTCTATACAAATTCGAGACGAACTTCTTTCTGCTCCACTGTCGAATAAAAAAAAATGCTCATCAATTCTACATCTCTTGTGACTGTCATATTTTTTGATATAATTCATATTTATTTTCTCCTGATGTTTTATAATTAATTTAGTGATAAAGTTAGCTATTTTAAATTACATAATATATAGAATAATTATTTATTTTTATTTCTAGTCTCAAACATAAGTTATTAATGAAACATAAGTACCTACAGTGAGTGAAAAAGTTATTCGTACAGAATATGCTTGATTATAAAATCTAAAGAATTTTCTTGGTTTACATAATATACTTATTGAATTATTAAAATTTAAACACTTGACTAAAAAGCACTTTATTTATTATATTATGTATATATGTAAAAAAAAACAGAAAACCAAATGTGTGATTAAATATTTCCGCAGAACTCATTAAATTCATAATTACAATCAAAATAATATAGGTACATAACAGAAACAGAAAGAACGATTAAAAAAAAGTTTTTCCAGCTTTAGCACTAATAAAAGTTAAAAGTCTGGCAAATACTTAACTAATTTAGAAGTAAAGTAGCACGATTTTTATTATTTCTTCATTGGAAATTTGTCGTTCACGAACTTTTCAATGAAGATAATACAGACGCTCAATGACGTTAATGTTAGGTGATTGAGGAATTGTGAAAACATTTCAAGTTATATTGGGATGTATTCCACGAATTGTGCTTTAAATCTATTGTCTTGTAAATAATATAAAGACCCAAGTCCCAGATAGACTGTGTGCTCGTAGATAAAAAAAAATAAAAATAAAAATTCCTTTATTTTCAAAAGTCTTATAACAAAGATTTGTCGAGTTTTCCCTTTAAGTAGTCATAGACACTTGTGTTGGGAATAACTCGCTACTTCCCTTACGGTTTGCTCAATAAGACTATTAAACTATATTATATCTAGAAGCTTAGAATTATAGAAATGTGGGTTAGTTAATGTGTATATGTTTTAGTGTATATGTGTGGGTGTGTGTGTGTGTGTATGTGTGGGTGTGTATGTGTGTGCGTGAATGTGTATGCGAGTGTGTGTGTGTATGTCGGTCACCTGTAAGCCCTACGGATGGGGTTACTTGGGATCGGTATGGGTATTCCGCATACTGGTACCGACATTAAGTTTAACCGGGGTTTTAATTAATTCTTATGAAAAGTTTTTCAATATCGTCATAACTGAGTCCAACCATTCTATTAGTTTTCTTGCAAGTGTAAGATAACATGGGGTATATTTTAAGTATTTTATTTACTTTGTTATATATATAGGCGGACTGACCACTATATTGTCTTCTAGCGAAAGCAGTACGTACAGCAGTGACGGGGGCTACAGCATCCTTCTTTGTTTTATAACTTAGGTCGACATAAGGCAAAGATTTGTGGCACGTTAAGATGAGATGCAGAACATAGAGTTTTCGTACTGTGAGTAGACAACTCATTCTATATAGTGTATCAGTGGGAAAACGATAAGGTTTGGAGTAGATGACTTTGATAAGCGATCTCTGAGCTCTTTCGAATGCAAGAAAGTGAGTTTTGTCAGCTCCTCCCCAAATCGAGATACAGTAGGTGAGCACAGATTGGGCCAGGGCTACATAGATTCGGTTTTTAAGTTTGTTGCACATGATCTGCCGTAGTGATTTGAATACCCATATGAGTTTCCTAGTGCGGTTTGCTAAGAGTTCCAAATGTGAGTTCCAGCTAAGTCGTTGGTCCAACATTATACCTAGGTATTTAGTTTGGCTGACTTTCTCAATAGTAGGGCAGTCACAAATCAGGTTACCAGGGTTAGAGCAAGTGTGGGTTTTTATCGCAAAGTTATGGTCAGGTTGGGATTTGTTAGAAGGAGTGAAGCAGATGTAGTTTGTTTTCTGTGTGTTCAGGGTAAGTAGGTTGTCTCTGAGCCAGTTAGACACATTGCTTAAACCCCTTTCAGTACCTGCTTCGACAGTATTCCAGGTGCTACCAGTAAAAACAAGAGCAGTGTCGTTCGCGTAGGAGTATATCCTGCCCCCGACATCCCGTAGATTACACAGATCATTTATGTATATTAAAAAGAGAGTCGGGCCCAGGACACTACCCTGCGGGACTCCAAAACTAGGCGTGGCTTTATCACTGTGTAAATTATTTATTTTTACTTGCTGAGTTCTGTCCTGTAGGTAACTTTTAAAAAGCATGAGTGGAGTATCCCTAATGCCTATGCATTCTAGCCTGTGTCGAAGGCCTTTTTTAAGTTCAAAAAGACTGTAAGACATTTGCTGCCATTGTCTACTTCACCAACTATAGTAGAAGTGAGATCAAGAATCGCATCTTGAGTTGAAAGACCCTTTCTAAAACCATATTGGGAATTTGATAGTAATTTAAATTTATTTAGGAAATCAACTAATCTATTGTTAAGCAGCTTTTCAATAATTTTGGAGATGGAGGTAAGGACAGAGATAGGCCTATAATTGCTTACATCCTCTCTGTCCCCACTCTTATACACAGGGGTTACCATAGACCTCTTTAAGACGCTGGGGAAAACATCAGTACTAAAGCAAAGGTTTGCGAGGTTACGTATGTACGGTACAACAAAGGCTCTAGCATGCTTTAGAAAACCAGTGCTGATACCATCCCATCCAGGTGAGCTCCCAGAGTCCAGACTCATCAAGATGCTCTCGACTTCTATGTCGTCAGTGTTTAGCAGGACGAAGGATGAGGTCTGTGTATAGTTGGAGATAGGGGCTACTAGTACACGACTTTTAGTGCCTGAATTTGTAGCAATTATTTCAGCTAAATTATTGCCTATACAAGCAAAATAGTTATTGACATAGTTAACCGAATCTAGTGGTAGCGGTTTTAAGTTAATTAGGGCTACATTATTAGACTTGGGTGGTTTGTATCGAGTGATCTCATTTAGTGTATTCCAGAATTTACGGGGGTTATTAGCAGATTTATTAATAAGTTTGCCATAATGCTGAAGTTTAAGTTTTTTGATGAGGTTGGAACAGAAATTTCGAAAACATTTAGTTTTTTTTTTTTAGTAGTAACGTTAGTTATTATTAAAATTGTATTATGGGGGTCCTTTTCAACATTTTCTTGCAAGTTATTTCTTAGCCTTATGCACCTCAGAGCTCCGGGGGTTATCCAGGGTTTTAATATCCTTTTATTGTTAGAAAAGTAAATTAATTTAGAGTTTTTTTTTTTTGGATAGCTGACTTAATTATATTAATAAAAGAGTTGTCAAATTCTTCAGGGCTATTGGACATTTCTGAAACGGGGATACTCGTTGATATGAGTATTATATGCCCCATCAAAATCTGTAATTAGCTTGGACTTAGTTGGAGCTTTGTGGGTAGATGTTTTAGATAACTGAAGCAACACAAGATTGTGGTCTGTGACCGTCGTGTTAAGGACGGCAATAAAAGCTGCAATGAGGTTGACTTCAATTTTCATCATTACGTGGTCGAAGCAGGATCTCTTTCTGGTAGGTAGAGTGTGACCAGGCAATAAGCCATGCAGGGATAATGCGTCTAAGTAGCTGAGCCTATTACGGCGATATTGAGGCTTCTCTGTAGCTATGGGAAGCAGGTTAATGTTTATGTCACCTATGACAGACACATTTTTATGATGACTAATAGTTTCCAGATGTAAGTCGAGGGAGCTAGTAAAACTATCGTTAAGTAACTATAGGTAAGTGAATGCTGTGACCTATAACACCTATATAATCCCTGATTAACGCTTAAGGACCTTAAAGACCTTAATCCTTAATATTTTGCTTAATAACTATTCCAATTCGACGTTGCCGCTCTTAGTACCTTTCAACGATAGTGTAGCACAGCAAAGAACGACGTAGGTAGTTTAAAAAGTGTCAGTAGAATGTTGGAAAGTGTGCTTTTACTTCAAAGAAGATATTCTATTTTTTTAAATAATTCTATGATGATTAATCCCTCTTTATTTCATATAAATGAGTACATTATGGTGTAGGAAAATATAGAAGATTTTGTTTCATATAAGTAATTATAGAATTTTTTTATGTTTAGCTTAAAACAATTCACAAAACCATTGGAGAAATTTTGTATATTATTGTAACAGCTTTTGTTTAAGTAAAAACAATAAATCTTATATTTGATTCAATTATAATTTTCTTTACACATAACGAATCCTTATTAGAAGTAACCATTTACGTTTATAAAGCAGTTTTAGAATAAGGTTATGATATTATACTGGGTCCAGTGGACCCGGTAGCGAGTATTTGTGCTACAAATTAGGAGGCGACTCCCTAACCCCGGCTCCACACGTTGGCCCCAATATAGGTCCCAACGCTACTCGTCCAACGTGTGGATCTAGAAAATGGCATTGGTCCCAAAGTTGGGGCGAGCGTTGGTAGTTGGCCGGCTCGTGTCGGTTTCATCAAAGGAATCTGCGCCAACGCTCGCGGTCTGTCCACACGTTGGCACTTTGCTCAGTTCTGTTGCAACACGCAGCAAGTGCGTACATCGAGCGAGAATGGCTTCCTCATCCACAAAATCGCCACCGGAATGGACGATTGAAAAAGTCATAGAATTTATTGAACTTTATCAAGCACATCCAATAATATGGGACGCAACTCGAAAGGATCATAAGAATAAAAATTTATTAGCTGATGCATGGCGCACCATTCAACAGAATATGGGAATGAATTTCTCAATTGAAGATTTAAAAAAAAAGCGAGAATCATTAATGAGCACATATCGCCTTTACAGAAAGAAAATTAGTGACTCTACTCGATCTGGATCATCAACAGATGATATTTTTAAACCAAATTGGTTCGCTTATGAGCTCATGGATAGGTTTCTTGCTCCGATTTATGATAAATCAGATACAGTTACTATTAACACAGAGGTAAGATAAACATTGATTAATTTTTACTTTATTTATTTACATAGATAAAATCACAAACTGTGACAAATTACATACTTAATCTAAAGCACTTAGTTGTTTATTTCGAAAAAATCACCTGGGTAGGTAGGTACACTGAACCACAGGCTAGACGTAACATGATGACCTTGAGCGCGCCTTTATGCCCTACGTATTAAAAGATGTTTTCGTAGTGCAACTGTTACATAGATACATCTGACCTGTGGCTCTGTGTACCTAAATCTACATAATAATTTTGTAGGTCGGTAGATTTTTTATTTAGTGTGAATAAAAGTATGATGCATATTCATTACGTATTTCTCTAGCATTTTCTGTTGTTCTAATTGGTACTTGATCTAGTGATCTTAATTGTTGCTCTTCTAAAACATTATCTATATTACCTTCCGGCATATACATACGGTAGGAGTGCTGGCTCTTTTTCAAAAAATTATGAAGTACAACGCAAGTGAGTGTTATAATAGATGCTTTTTCGGGTTGTAGTAATATATTGGTTTTTAACACTCCAAATACCGATGTCATTATTCCAAATGCACATTCAATCACAACACGAGCCCTTGATAGTCGACTGTTGAATTTTCTATTTTGTGAGCCAACTGGCGGTGTACCAGGAAAAGGTTTCATGATCCTTTTAGATAATGCAAAAGCTCCATCTGCCACAAAAACATAGGGCACAGGAAGATGTCGATCAGGTAAAGGAGCGTCTTGCGGAAAAAAGGAATCAGGTCCATATATTTTGTTATAAAGCATGCTATCATTAAAAACTCCACCGTCACTCATACGTCCATGTGTTCCTACGTCAGCAAATAAAAAGTTGTAGTCACTATCAGCTACCGCTAGTAATATTATACTGAAATTGTGTTTATAGTTATAGAACTCTGATCCACTATTAATGGGTGACTGTATTTTAATGTGTTTCCCATCGATAGCGCCCAAACAATGTGGAAATTGCCATTTTATTTCAAATTCTCGAGCAATCTCAAGCCACTCGTGTTCATTTTGTGGCATCTAAAACAAAAAAAAAATATCAGTGTAGGTAATAGTTAATAATTTAAATAAGGGTTGAAATTTACTTGTTGTGTTTGAATTTTTAGACTATGGAGTTTCCTAATGAAGACAGCAATCAAGATAGAAGCTTTTCTAATGAAGGCAGCATTCAAAATAGAAGTTCCACGTCAGCCAAAAAACGGCGAGAATCAGAAGTCACGGAAGTACGAGCTCAGATTAAGACAGCTGTAAATGTCCTAAAAAATCTCTCCGACCGACCACGAACTGAAGTGGACGAGGTAGATTTATACTGTCAACTACTGGCCAAAAAAATTAAAAAATTTAATGAGCAACAAAGGGAGGTTATAATGCACGATATAGACGAACTTATTTATCAGAAGCGAAATGACTCTTACTTAAATATTAATAGCCCTGCTCGTAGCAGCACTTACTCGTACGTAAGGTCTACCCCGGATTCCGTGCGTTTTACACCTACACCGCCCCCTTCATCACAAATGTTGGCGTACGATATGTCTACCCGAGATTCCGTACGTTATGCACATATAACATCCCCTTCGCCTCAAGTGATGCCAAGCCCGTCATATCACGTTGCTGATGATTATAGTGATTATACAGTTGTATCACCAAATCATAGCCAAGTAGAATATGTGACAGGTTCATCCACCTCCACCACATCTACTCCAAAGGTGACAATTATATCAAATGATATTATCTCTCAGGCATTTACTCTTTCTCAGATACAAAATAAGAATTGAATGCTAATGCAAGGACTCGATTGCTTTCTCTAATTATTTTTCTCAATAAACGTGTTTTTGATTATTATTATTATGGTTTTATTTTACAAAATATACAAAAATACTTACTTTTACAAAAGAACGCAATGCCTCACATAGTGCTTTACATACTTCCGGCACGATCAACGATATGACTTGAGGAGAAATCTTAAATAGGTAATGAAGACTTTTGAATGAATCACCAGTCGCTAAAAATCTAAGTGTCACAGCAAGGCGTACTTTGGTTGGTATTGAGTCTCTGAATACTGTATCTTGCTTTTTTATTCTTGGTCCAATCAACTGTAGAAGGTATTCGAAATCTATCGAAGACATACGACAAAAGTTATCAAACTGTCCTGATGGCTCTTGAATCAAATTACTCAATAATCAGGTTCCATCATACCTAAAAAAGAAAGAAAATGTAAATATAGAATCAAAAAGAAATTTAATATTACAGCTCCTGTAAACAACTGCTGATATAATTATAGTTTGTTGTTGATGTTATTAGAATATTTAAAATGGAGTGTATAACAAGATCTTTACTCACTGATTCCGTGTTTTATGATGTGTCGTCATCCACCATCTTCTTTGACGTGGCTTTTTATTTTTTCTCAGTAACAAATATAAATGTGCACTCAGTACTATAAAAGCGCTCAGAGCAGTTTCGATTTCTATATCGGACATCTTCACATTGGCCCTGACGGGACAGAACTAGTTTATTAGCCAACGTGTGTACGCTTCACCGAACTCGCAGTCCAACGTAGGTACGAGCGTTGGGACCAACGTGTGGAGCCGGCCTAAGTGTTAAGAATTAATTAAATGCAAACCCTAGAGGACTAAGATCGAGTGTCTCGTTGCATAGTCGGATTTAGAGACGGCACGAAGTCACGTGTCCCTCCCCGCACTCCACCTCCCGCCCAACACCGATGAACACAAGAAGGTAATTATGTCCCATTATAATTATTATTAGGTTGTCAGCTAACAGGTAGGGATAAATTATCTTAAATTGAGAATTTTGTAAGTTCCACAGAAAAGTTACTAATTTCAACAAACATTGCAAGTACCCGCAACGCATCCTACAATGGAATTTAAGACTAGGCTTGAAAGTATCAACGGCGATACCAAGTATTAGGATCCTATGTTAGTTATTCAAAGGAAACGTAAGGCAAATTATTGTATTCGAAATTAGCAATATTGTAATTACGAATATGACAAATAATTTCTAATAAAATCAAGAAAAATACGACAACGCTTGAGCAAGCTCTACTACTAAGTGATCACACGCATTTGGGCTTGCTTGTGAGAATCCAGCAGTTACCCTACTTATTAAAATGCTTTTAAAAATAATTTCCACAAGTCCAGCAATAATAACTTTTAAATTATCCAATTTGTAATATCCTTTCTTCACATACCTAATTAGCAAAAAGAATTCAGTGATATTGTGAAATATATATTATATGAATCGCTGATTGTATTAATTTGCTTTGTCAACTAACTACGCCGAGTGATTTTTCTTTTACAGGCATCTTGTATCGCCTAAAAACTTCTGACGACTGGTGGCTGTGAATATCATGAAGAAATCTTCGGCACGCAACGTTTAATGACCCATTATATATCATAGCGTTGTCGCACGAACGTTACAACATTACTACTGCTTGAGTATTTTTTATGTAGTGGAATATTATTTAAAAGAATGAAAGCAGTGAGTTTTCGACAAAGAAACATTACGAAAACGAACATAATAAAACATCCGTCATTCACAGCCCACATACATTCCACTACTATTTTTGCGTTTAATGGATTTCAATGTCCTATACAATAACGATACTTTTTGCAAAAAAAAAGACGGACACCTATGCAAAGAACCAATTTTATTGTTACCATAATTTGTGATTTCTTCAAAATATGCATCTGCAAAGAGTTTTCGTCTTCGTAGCACTTGCCGACATAGGTCTTCACCGTACAAAGATATCCTGGCTTTATAGAAGAACAAATCCTATTATCCTTCTTGAGTCCATGACACACAATTTCGATCGAAGCTAAGCCTGTTAACTCGATGCTCACGGATTAATTTAGGGCCCGCGAGCTGGACAATGACTGCGGATACTGCCTCCAGACCGTCCATAGACTTGCACATTTCTTACTTCTTCGAGGTTGTTTTTGAGGTCTAACGAAGATTTGCGACTTCTCAACGTACATGCCTTTCTTCCAGAACCGGGCCTTCTTTTGACAGAATCGGTCGCTTGATAGCGCTGCCAGGTTCTTTGTACTGTCGAACGACTTACATTTAGCCACAAAGCATTGGCTGTAAGCTGTAACCCTTCTCAAGAAGCGCAATAATTTTGCTGGCTTTTATCGCTTTATCTACCATTTTCGAGACTGCTAAACAGTAATATCAATACTTTAAAATTAAAATAAAAAAGTTATTTAGATTAGAGATTATAGATATTGGGTATGTTCCGATATACACTGTGATCACTGTAAGGAGTGAACGTCAATTCAGTATACTGTGAAGCCGTTCCTTTTTAGTTTGCTATACTGGTTACTATTTAAAACGGAATGCAGTCCAGTATACTATCATCCCCATTTTTTACACTGTTTTCAAATGAAAATATTTATCATGTAACGTGTACATGATAAATATTTCTGTTCAACAAGAAAAATTATATTTGAATGTTTTAAAACTTAATGTCCGAGTTTATTTGAATATCAATATTAATTAATAATAATAACAATCATTCGTGGAAACCGTTAAATCTGTAGGCGCTGTTAAGTTTTTCGATCATGTGATCAAAGTACTGAGAGCACCTTACCTCGACATCGAAAGCGCCAGTGCTCACAGTACAAAATGGTTGCGATTTATGAGGTCATATATTTTCCTAGGGTACTGCGGCAGTACACTGGTCCATAACGGAACGAATTTTTCACCAGTGAGAGCACTGTGCAGTACTCGCAGTGTATATCGGAACATAGCTATTAACTTTCGGGTGTTCGCGTCACAAACTGTAGCAAAAAGTTTTCTTTAAAAACCAGCCTCAGGCATAAATTTGAATTTGGAACATACTTTTTTAAACACTACGGTGGCTCTATTTAATTAGCGGCCCAAATTATAAAATTTGGCCTTACAAAAAGTGGACCCTTTCCCCTTGCGGAAAAGAATAGTTTTTGAGTAATGATTTTTTTGTAATATCATAA